AACTCCCCACAATCATCTACCACTCCTTTCATACACAAATCTCTCCCCTATATCCCTATTCTCTCAGACAGGCTTTCGATAAAATAGTTTTACCACTATTTAGCCTTTTTATGACCGCAACCCCGGACCATCTCCTTCCTTTATAATGCAACGGTCAACTATTAAATATTCAATAAAATTAATCAGATATACATTTGATAATGGGTGAATAAATCAATGTATGATATTTTTTTTTTATTTCTTTATGACATTTACAACTGTATATGATATTAAATATATGATTTTTTCGCCATTAGTAAATTGAATGTCTTAATGTTATTTTTCAATGACACTCAGAAAGTACTCTGAGGGATAATTGAACCCTTTCATTATTAATGGTTTGTTCCGATTAATTTTTCTTTTAATTTTTGAAAATGATTTAATTTAACGTATGTTTCCATACAGTTTTGAGATTAACCACAGGGTTGTAATGTCCGATCTTTAAAATAAAATATTTCTAAATTCTTACCTGATTGTTGAGTATAAGCTTTTTTTGGGTGGTTTTCATCAGAACAACGTAATACATATTTGTAAAACTATTCTTTTTTCCTCATACCTGACTATTTCTGGCGTACGGGATTCCCAGTAACAGTGGTGTAGTGTACATGAGCTTTCCCAACCTACCATATCTTTTTCAGGTTTCCTTTTTTTTACTTCGCTTCTTATAGTGACCATACGTGGGGCGCCCGCTAGTGCTGTTGGAGTGCGATGTTTTACCATTCTCCTCACATACATGTAATAATGTATGTAATATTCTGATGCTCTACTCTGTCAATCCTCTTCCCCTCCTCAGTAGTTCCGAGGTGGTACTTATTTTCTTCTTTTTCCTCATTTTCTTCTTCATCTTAATCTTGTCAAGGCGCACTTCATCATCTCCCAACTCAACAACGGGATGAGTTTGGGTCTCGATATTTCACCTTGGGAAGTTCTGCTAGAGTATCAAGCTCCTCTTGGTGGATACTTCTTCTTCCGGTTTCAGCGTTTACTCTGACTTAAGGCAGAGGAAGGTCTGACAGATATGCTGTCAAGGCAGCCGGTTACGAGTCCTCAGAATTCGTCGGGGCTTCGCCTGGGACACTGCAAAGCACTCATAAAAGAAAAAATGTAGCAGAGCTTTCAAAACCTAGATATTTTTCCCTTTTTCAGAGAAAAATAATTAAATAATTCAATCCCAAACTTATTGTTTATATCAGTGACAACTTTTAGCGATATTAGTACTTATCTACTAAATATTAAACATGGTCGTACTGCGAATTTTAAACCAATATTATTTGGCGGTTATCCGTTAAATGGTTACTACTTTCTTAGGTCTGTTTATCTTTGGATGTGCACTAAGTAACTGAGGAAGATAGCTAACTCATACATAGAGATCTATAAGCTCGAATATTTTCGCATTGAATCAAGTAGAGATCAGCAAGAATTAACACTACACTCATTTAAAAGATTTTCCTTTTGGCTTTTTACAGTATAACATAACTATGATATAATTGATACATTATTTATTAGAGACAATAACAAACAATCAATATTCCTCACTTACGTTGGCGTAGGATGCGTATTTATAGCTCGGAGTAGATACCAAATATGCCTTCAACGTACTATACTAAAAATATTATTAGTATCAATTTGCTCATCATCAAACGGCACAGCAATCCATTACTGAGTCCTGCCTTCCTCAAGCAGCCTATTTAATGGATGAAGTGCAATTGTTGATTGACTCCGAAGTCCTGTTTCAAATCAGTAATCCTAAACTAAACTAAGATTTTTTAGGCCTAGAATTGCTAACCAATCCTGACAATTATTCCAATGTATGGCTCATAAGGAACTAGCGTTCTTTCCTTTATAGTGAAGCCCAATATCACTATGTTGCTCTGAGCACCATCTGAGCTTTCTTTTTTTCTCTATCAATCTTAGGAGATCAATTTCATCATGCTTTGATCAACCCATCATTCTTATCATCATCAGTCTCCGACTATTTAACAAGCATTGGTCTGATCAGTGTCTTTTTCATTCTTGTTTTGTCTCTCGATATTGAGCTACTTTTCAGGTGTTGGGGTAATCCAAATAAGAAATAAGGATGAACACCATTTTTGCTACCTTACTTTAAAAGAGTGCTGTACGACTTCAACACAGCAGGAGTGAACCAATGCGGAGAAGCCTGGCGCTACAATTAGACTACGCTTTTAACAGAAAGAATAAGATTTATAACGGTTCTCATCTACTCACTCAGATAAAAGGGAACAGCCGTGAGCAAACTACTGCTTCAATTCTCACTCAGACTCACTCATGGGATTCACCAGCACAATATCACCGCTTCAAAAGTATTATAGTAACGTAGCACATCCTAGAATATTGTCCAAGCTTAAATCCATTGCCTTTCCACCGTGGATATCGACAAGCCCTACAACTTGAAAATTTGAAGAATTAGTTCCAATTTCTGATAAGAGACCTTATTATAGACATATTTTAACAACAAAATCACACCTGAAACAAAACAATATTTACAGACACATTGAAATATGTTAATAACGGTTTTTCTAATGTATGCAATTGTACATGGCAACTAAATTTAACTATATAAATAAATTCATATGTGTATTTTTGGTTTTCGATATAATGTTCCTAACCCATAATCCATAATACTTTTTCTGTATCATCAAATGTTAATCCTATATCATACAAATGTCCAGTAACATATTTGACAGAAGAATCTATTACCAATTATAATAAATTCATACTGCTAATAGTATAACAAGTATTAATCCAACTTTGTAAATTATTAAATTTTCTTTTGTTCTTATTTTAAATATTAGATAAATAACTATCTTACCACATAACATTCTTGAAATGGCTCTCCGGAAACAGTACTGGCTATCTCGACCAACGGCCTGGAATGTCCGTGGCATTTTGTGAGGAGATTGTCTTTTCAATCTCTTCAGTAATTGGCCAGGAAGACGTGAACCTGTGGTGCGCTGATGGTGACGTGGCTTTTTGTTTACTGAAGGACGAACTGGCCACCAGGCAAGGTCTTTCGGCTGTATGGAGAGAAATTAATCTTCCTCCTCCTCCCCCCCCTATTATCACATAGGACTACAAATAAAATCTTAATTATTTTAATAGATATTAATTACTTTAATTAGGACCCTAAACGTTAAGTGGATGTTAAGGTCAAGAGCTCAGTTGAAAATTAAATCAATTACTTTAGAATCGATCTTTTTTACTTTTATTGTGCTAATTAGTGTTGCCCAAAATCGGTCTTTGTCTTGCACTTTGCAAGACAAAGACCAACACTGCCTATTAGTTGCAAGACCAAGATCAAGGCTGGTAAAAAAAATCGATTTATTGAATAAAAATTGAGGTAAAATAGTTGCTAATACTTGACAATTTTAGTTACTATATGTAAAGAATTGGTGTAACCAATATACTTTTGCATTTAATTCTTCTAATTTTTCATTCAGACTTAGTTAGGTTTCTCATATCTGAAAAATTACAGTAATATTTCTCTAATAATAAGCTAATAGGTAACTGCAAGACTGTTACGAGAGTCTTGGACAAGATAAAGACCTAGACCAAGACTGAGTTTGCAAGACAAAGGCTCGTCTCGGTCTCCCATTTGGGCAACACTAGTGCTAATAGTGATATTTCTTTATCCTTCACTTTTTTAAATCGATTTATATATATTTAAATACCATCCGATATTTTGTTTGTCGAATGATGGACCAAAACTCTGTGTCGCTATAAAATATACAAAACGGCTTTAACAATTTTAGTGAAATTTGGCTAAAGTCTTGTTCTTAAAGCTCTTTTATATATATATATATATATATATATATATATATATATATATATATTTACAACATACATCACACAAAAATACCTGAAAAGAAAAACTGACGATGAAATCAAAAGTACACAAATGGTAATGAACTGTTTTATATATGGCGCAAGTTGTGCCATCAAACTTTTTGAGGGAGGCATATTTGGCGGGTTGTTGAATTTTCAAGAGAGCAAATTTCAGTCGGATTATGAATTCTTGTAATGAAAAATTACAGAACGAGGAAGGAGGAGAAAACAAGGAACAGACTGCAGCAAGTGTAATTGTGTATGTACTAATTCTATTTTCCCTTCTTCTGTTTTTATGAATAGGTGAGTAATAAAATATATTGGGAGAGATAGGTTTTTGCGCCACCGACCCTGGGGGGGGATGGACACCCCTCATTGTAAATACATGTTGAAGTGTCTATACGAATGCGTAAGAGAAGAAAAAGAAATGTTAATAACATGTAAATTCGTATACGTTTTCGTTAAAATTTAAATAGTAAAAATAAATTGATATACAATTAATCATAGAGAATTAATAATTAATGAATTACAGGTTGAGGTAAAATAATAATATTTTTAACTTAAATCAATTAAATTTGCACATTGCGCCTGTGAAGTTAACCATCGATAGGTATGTTCATTTAAAAAAATATATATATTATTCACTGCATAAATATCAATTAAAACCACTCAATATATCTTTATACAGTTTTTTAATTAACTCGAATAATCATTACATTAAATAATTATTTATTTAATATTAAATTGTTATGAGAAGAACCACATTCAAATAGATTATATCACAGTATACCGAACATAATTTTTATAAAAATATAATATTTCTTCGAGTTGCATTAAATAATTAAGTTTAATATGTTAATTGTATATAGCTATATAGTTATCTAAAGAAAAAAAATTAACTATGTATCTATTCCTTAAATATTTTTAAAAATATATTCTATTCCATAATAAAAAGTTATAACTTGAAAATAGAAAAAAATAAACAAATATTGGCAACAAGTTTCTGAAAATTAGTGAAACACTAAAATTTCATGAGGTCATTTTAAAAACTATTAGATAGAATGCCAGATACTTTGGAGTAACAAAGAACTTCTAGGTAAATATAAATAAATAACAACTTATTTTTATTAAAAACATTTTATTATCAAAATGTTACAAAACGGATAATTTCACGGAGATGTTATTACCGGATATTCGAAAAGATTTGTGTGATGATACGTTGGTAACTTTCGATTGAATTCTTTACCATCCCTTGTAGGAATGGCTGCCGTAGCCGGAGTATCCTGATCCAGAGTATCCAGCGTATCCTGGGTAAGCAGCATGCCCAGCATGTCCAGCATAGCCTGGGTAAGCGGTGGAACCGTAGCCAGAGTAACCAGAGTATCCAGGGTATGCGGAAGAACCGTATCCAGAATAAGCGGAATATCCTGGGTATGCGGCAGAACCGTATCCAGCACCATAGCCACCATATCCGGCACCGTATCCAGCACCGTAGCTACCATATCCGGCACCATATCCAGCACCATATCCAGCACCGTAGCCACCATATCCAGCATATCCTGAGCCAGCGTAACCTGGATAAGCACCGTAACTACCGTATCCACCATAACCCTTATTGGTTCCAGCGGCATATCCTGGGTAGGCTCCAGCGGCATATCCTGGGTAGGCACCAGCGGCATATCCTGGGTATGCTCCAGCATATCCTCCATATCCTCCAGCATAGCCTAAGGAGGAATCGAGTATGCTAACTGTCTGTTCTCAATCACATTTCATTATAAAGAATAGAGTTAAGAAATCAAACAATATGACTAAATACTTCCGTTATCATTATTCTACATAACAAACATAAAATTTTCTGAAAATATTTTCTCACCAAGTCCTGCCGCAGCTGTCCTCTTCTCAACTGCCTTCTCTTCCTCAGCGAATGCCACCGCGAAGAGGGCAGCGACAATCTAATGATAACAAAGAAATCTAAGAATAATACAAAGTAAAAAAAAACCTTGAGTAATACACATAAGCTACATATTCCTCCTCAGATATAAAAAATAAAATTATTTTTTGTTATGAGAGCAGCATGAACGTATTAGAATTAGATTACATGCTCGATCGAGAGGGCTTAAAATTGACCCCTGGTAAAGAATTAATAAAGTACAAAGTATAAAAAATTGGATTAAAGTGCTCGTTAACAGCACTCGAAACCATAAAATAACACTGTTAAATAACACGAATAGCATAAAAAATAATAAACTTGGACAACCACATTACTTGATGATTTTGTGAACATATTATGCACAATTTTACTCCTTGATAGTAAAACAGATATTTTATTAAAATGTTAAACAGAGTAATTCAAGATCTATTTTATCATGATATCACATTTAGACATACCAGGTTTCACATCCATAATAGGAAACATGAATTAACTTTTATGTAAATGCTAATGATTCGTTGACTTTAGCAGTGAATTGTTTAAATTTAATTTGTAAAAACATATTGTCTACCCTTGATATATATTTTAAATTTTAAAAATATGTAAATTATTTAATCAGAAATATGAACAAAAATTAAATACCTGGAATAAAATTTGATTTTTTTTTACAAATTTATAGATTCAATATAATTAGTAATGATTTATAAAAAAAGTACAAGTAAAATTTAAAGAAGACATTTAGTATTTAAAAAAAAAACTGTATGATATTCCAATTATTGATGATACTCATTAAAAAATATTATTAGATTAATTTTCACATTGGTTCAACCTAATAAACAAAAATGCACAATAATCATTTTTATGAATATTATAAAATTCGAGACCATAATATTATAAACTATATTAGCCTAAAAGTTTATACATGTAATTTATATGAGTATGTAAAATTATAGCATATTATGATATATTCATTTGTTTTTTAAATTAAGTACAAACTTAAAATAATTATGCACTTATTCAAGTTTAATTACAAAGCACTCCCAATCATATTTAATAGAACAAATAAAACAATAAATAAATAACAATATAAACTGGCCCCCTCCTCTTTTTTTTATTAAATCAAGGCACAATTGTTTGATTACTTTAAAGACTGAGTTAAAGTTTCATAACAACATGTATATTCGCTCACATGTTTGGCATATAATATGGTCCAAAATTCAGCTAAGTTCGGTCAAATATTTATTTAGACCTAGCCAGAAATACTGGAGCATATTAAGGAATATTAGTTGGACAAATGATCCCCCAAACCTACAAATAATAATAAAAAAAATCTAAAAGCTATTGACTTTAAAAATTTGACCTAAGGGAAATGTGTGGCAAGCAATAAAGTTTAAAGAAGATCAAGAATTTAAACAAAGTATTGAAGCTAACTTTTATAATCTTTGTGTTTTCTTAACTTTGTGTATTCTTAACTTCAATTTTTTTAAATACTTAATTTATTCACAAATATATAATACAACAGGAACGCTTCTACGGCAAAAATAAATATTCTACTTTTTTTAGATATTTATAATTTGTTTTAGGAAAATAATAAGCTTAATGAAAGTCATAAATTTAAAAATATTTGTTGCATTATGTGGCTAGTAAATTACTTGAAACAATAATTTAAATTTTGTGGTTAAGACCTATTTGTGATCTCTGCACACTATTATAAATATCCTTGAGACAGATTGTAATATTTTTCAATAGATAATTAAAAAAAAACAAAAAGACATATTAAAATCTCAAATTTCTAAACAGGAGTATTTCAATGAGAAAATATTAATTTATTTTTAAACTGAATTGGCGAGTATAATATAACATAATTTAGCATTACATATTAAATATTATCTAACTAAATATATTATAAATACAAATTTTATTGATTTTTAGTAATATTATCGTTTGTTTGGATTTTATCCAAGGATTTCATTATCTTAATATTTCTATACTAAGCATCATAATCGAAATATCGAAAATTTTTGTAGCCAGTTTTAAAAGCGAACAGTACAGTTTACTTTAATTATTTGGGCCCATCGTTTAGAGCGAAGTTGATATATTCAAACATAAATTTCAACATTATAATTTTATTAAAATATTTTCGCAATATTTTGCTTCCACACTACCGAAGGTAGGGAAGCATTGTATTTTTTATTTGTTTTAAGTTTGTTAATACAAACAACAAAACAAAAAGAAAACTAAATTTAAATACTACCAATTTTTTTTACCAATATTGAGAAAATGAACTGTGTTTGATAGTTTTTATTTGACGTTATTTTTTTCAAAATCATCCCGAAAAAACGAATTATTCTAAAATTAGAAATGATATTTAACTAAAAATAATCGGAGAATTTTTCCGATCTTGGTTTGTAAAATTTTACTACCGATGAATAAATAACACGAAACATGCGATTTCGAAGTATAGATTTCGTTTTATTCTAAATTATATTGTAATTTAAGTAACGGAAATTATTATTGCTTAGTTTTAATTTTTTTTGGAAATATACTACAATTTCAATAAGTATATTTGTATATATAATATTAAATAAAAAAATATTTTAGAGTAAATGTCCGAAATTAGATTATAGCTATTTATTATATTTTCACAACAAGAATAGTTTCAAATTTGTATTTATGGTTAGATTTCAAAAAATGAACTGACTTTGTTTTCGGGAATAAACTGTGCAATAATATGAAAATTCGGTCTCTAATTAATATAATAAATTAAACAAAATAGGTGATTTTTGGAAGTTTTGGGATATTAATTACAATTTTTTTTAAATTATTCACTACATTGTTTTGCATATATTGAGTTTTTTACTGTACGAAAATCCGAATATTCGATATTCAAAAAAATAACTATATTATAATGTCCTAAACACACATACAAGTTATACATGTATTTAAAAAAATGTATTTAATAATATACTGCATGGAATAATTATTAAGCTTTTTACTATCAGTTAAAATTGCAATGGATAACGTTTTTTCATCATACAAAAAATAAGGTATTTTAATTCACATTTTTCGTATGAATGAATGAACGAATTTCGTTTTTAAAAATAATATTAGGAATGAATTTTAACTATTTTTATAAATATTCAAGGAATAACGAGAATGTACTCACGAGAGTCTTGAATGTAGCCATTGCTGTGGTGTTCGGTGAAGGAGTGGTGGAAGATATGCTGGGGTTGGCTACTACCCTCCTTATATACACCGACGGTTCGAGGCCGATAGTTCGTAGTGAAAGTGATGTCATCGCTACAATTAGAGACTCCAAAATTGTTTTAAGGAAAATGTATCATAAATAATGGTGAAAAAAATAAAAGAATTAATAACATAATGGAAATTATGAATTCAGGTCATCCAATAGTTATATTCAACATTAAAGAAAAAATAAAATTGACATTTTCATGAATATGAGTAGTATTTTTCAATGTGCGTTAGATGAAACGTGGTTTTATACAATAATATTTATTATTTTTAATTTTATAATCCTCTGCATATCTTATTTCTTTTTCGAAAAAACTTTCATCATATCGAAAATAAATATTCTTTAATTTTGAATCTGTACAGGTTTTAAGCAATTGGAGATTATACATTATACAACTATATATAAATAAGAAAAATATATATATATATTATATATATATATATATATATATATATATATATATATATATAATATATATATATATATATATATATTGTTTTTTATTCCATAATCCTTTATATATTCTATTCTTTTTTCAAACATAGTTTATCATGTTAAATATATATATATTTTGTATATTTTCTCATTTTAAGCAATAATAGTTCTGTATAAATAAATGTTGCATTAACATTTTTACAAATTATAACAAAATCAACATATAAGAGGAAAACATAAGTTATAATAAATATCATGAAATTAATAGCATAAAATACTAAGGTTTTTGTAATTTATAGTATTAATAAATTTAAATCAACCAGTTTTTATATTAATTTGTGGATTCTTTTTAAGGTGATGTAATCACTACAATTAGATCCTCAAAAATTATTTTTAGAAAACTAAACAATAAATATAAAAAATATAACCTAACGAAGAAATAAAAAACCAATAACCTAACGAAAATTATAAATAATGATTACCGAATATTTATTACCAACAGAAAAAAATGAGATAATTCTGCAGTATATTTTCAAAATTTTAGTTGATAAATGGTTTTATATTATATTATGTATATATGTAAATATATATATATATATATATATATATATATATATATATATATATATATATATATATATGATTTACTTTATTTGTTAAACAAAATAATTTCTTCTAAAAATATTTACAAAATATGTCTTCATGTGTCTGCATTTTAAACAAATAATTACTATTGCTTTAATAAATTTAGGCCATCTGATACATAATTTATACTATGTTTGATTATACATAATAATAAATACATAATTTTACTTCATTTATGAATCAATTTTTAATAGATTAATATCTTTCAACTTGTTTTATAATACTATATTTTTTAATATACAAGTTAAATGTAAATAAAAATTACATAAACAATTTCACAAATAAGAATAAAAAATAATAAACATAAGTTGTAATCACAATCATGATAACAGTATAAGATCCTGTTTTTTTTTTTTTACTTTTAGCATATACTTATAAATAATATAACACAGCTTTATCACAGTTTAAGTAGATTTTTTTCTGAAATATACGCTTTTTCTTTAGAGTTTTACTTCCGATTTATGTAATTTTTCAATTCTCTATTTCTCAATTCATCCTGACAATCCTCCATATAAATTTGTAATTCATATCATGAGAATAATAGGACAACATCCTAGGGTTTTTGTGATTTTTAAAAAAGAAATTAACAAACTTTTATATTAAATTGTGGTATTATTATTAACAGGAAGTGATTTATTTAGTTATAATTATATATTTTCTGTTTAAGATTCTGCCGTTGTTATAGAAGAGCCACAATGAATATTTTTTACTGAAATTAATTAAGCAATTCTACAACAAATTTGAAGTCTCGTTTTTCTCTCACAATTATGACTATAGTTGATAAGGTTAGATAACTTTCGACAATTCATTGGTTGGGGTCTACACATGTTTTTTAACGTGAGTATGGAACTCAACCGTTGTACCTGCACTTTCAACTCGCGAAACTTGATAATTTGACAGTACTATGAAGACAGTGAATATCATGCAGTCATGCCGAATTTCATTATAGATGGTAGTGTTTGTTATAGTTTTTGTCATAGATTTCTCGAAGATTTTATTGAAGACACGATAATTAAATAAATTAGTAAAAAATAATTAACTAGGTATTGATGACATGGGGTTTTTGCACATTTAAAAAAAGCAACAAAAACACCAAATAATCTACAATAAATAGTAAATTAATAACGATACAGTTAATTACTGGCATTTTAATCAAAATACCAGGTTTTAGTAATGGTTATTATATATATTTTATTTGTGGGAACAACGGTTCCATTGATGTCCTTTACCAAGTTATCTTTTTTTTTATTTTTTATTTATTTATTTATAAATACAATAATAAGTCACGTGACAATGAATATAGTAAGATATGAACACATTCAAAGCATATATACAAAAAAAAAATAAAATTAACGAAAGTAAAATAATAATCAAATAAAATAAATAATAAAGATAAGTAAATTAAAACACAATCATACTTATATACAATATATACAATCAGGCAGGGAACTCCAAGCCAAGATTGTTCCTCCAACTGTAGATTGAAAAGCAGAACTCCAAGAGATCCCTGCGCTATTCTCTCAACCGCGTCACTGGTGCCAGTGGAGATTGAACGAGAGCGCTTTAGCCATATGCATTCATGTCTCGAGTGGAGAATCTGGTCATAGCCAGAATTCTAAGATATATATTAGAAAAGATCAACCTTCGAGGAGGATCGATGAGTGGAACCAGATAGGGATTGTGCAAAGTGATTTGGATTATTTCTAGGATTCTAAAAGAATTTGGAATAAGGTCTAGGACAAATGTGATATTAAGGTCATGGTATATGGTTTTATTGGTAACATAGAACGTAGCATCGACTTTTGTTCGGAGGACTAAAAGTATTGGATGCGTTTGATGTTAGAAAATGTTACTCTCACCCAAGTGGTGGACAGGATCTGTGCCAGGGCGTGAAGGTAATGTGTTTGCATTTGGATTCGTTTACTTTGATGCGCCATTTATCACACCAGTGCTCAATTGCACTGGTGCAACAACTGGCGCATCAAAATCAATGAATCAAAATGCAAACATATCACTTTCACCCTGCGACGCAGATCCTGTCCGCCAATCCTTTTAATTCAATTCCACTTCCCTAATCAGACACAGTCCGTTACCTTCGCTTCCTTCTTGACAAAAGACTAACTAGGAACCCACATACCAGACTTAAAAGACAAGAACTTAACCGACGATATGGCCAGCTGTATAGATTACTAAGTAGGATATCCCATCTTTCGATTCAAAATAAACTTTTAATCTACGAGACCATACTGAAACCTATCTGAACCTACGGGCTTGAACTGTGAGGAACTGCTAAACATTCGAATATCAAACGCATCCAATCCTTCCAGTCCAAAATACTTAGAACAATAGTCAGTGCCCCATATTATGTCACAAACAAGACCCTACACCATGACCTTAACATCCCATTTGTCCTCGACATCATCCCAACCAGATTCTCAAACTTTCAACAAAACCTTATCCATCATCCAAATCCTCTAGCTCAATCCCTATCCAACTCCCTTCATCCCTACAATCATCCACGAAGGTTAAAACGGCAGTGGCCCAGAGATCTCTTGTAAATATGCTTCTGGAGTCCTGGCAATGGCCAGCTTCTCCACTCGTCTGTGGCTCTAGTGCCCTCTTTCAGTCTCCATTGGATTCTAATACTAGTGATGCAGCTGGAAAAGTGGCACTGGGATCTCCTGGAGTCTTGCTTGGCCTTCCTGGGGGAAAAAGCCTGGCTCGGAGATTCCTGGGCGAATGTATATATTGTATATAGGTATGATTGTGTTTATAAGTTTCTATTTTATGTTATTGTTTACTTTTTTTTTTACTTCATTCATCAGTATAATTTATTTACTTTTTATATTTATATTTATTTCTCTATTATTTGTATATATTGTTTGAATGAGAACTCTTAGCCCTAATACTTGTAGTCCTCCAGCTGTGGCTGATTGTATTATTATTCAATAAATAGATAAAAAAAAAAGATAAAAAAAAGTGCTCAATCAAGGAGAGGTATCCTTGCAGATTTAAGAAAACTATTTCGAGATCTGAGTTGGATGATAGGATGGCGGTGTCATCAGCAAATGTTGCCAGGAAGGAATCGGAATGGTCAGGGATATCAGCGGTAAAAAGTATATTAAGGAGGGAGCAAATTGTGATTAACAAAGAGGGAAATAAGGTTTGGCAAGTTGAGGGATTGGGATTTGAAGGTGGCCAATTCCTGATTTAATCGTTTTGCTGTAATAATTATAGGAACGGCCATCGGTGGGGTGTCTTGAACGTTGCCATAATATTCTGGCACGGCGTTTTACGTGAATTGGTTCTGTCAGATATTGAGGTAAATTATTTTTTTATGAATTTTTAAATAGAGATTTGGGGAGGGGGGGGTAGCTGTTTAGATAGCTTGTTGAATAGCAGGGGTAAAGGAATGTTCGGCATTATCAAGGTCTTTTAGAATTTTTAGGGTTATTCTGAATTCAATTTTATCGAAAAGGATTTGATGAAAGAGTTTCCAGTTAACTGGTCCTCTGATGAAGGACGGAAATTCGTTTTTCTAATTATGTTTTTTTTAATAATATGGGAAACTCAATTAGTATTCCTACGCTGTATTTAATGTTCAGCCATAAATATAACATCTAGAAGCAGAGTATGCAATATACGATTCTTTATATCATTCATACCATAATAGTTGGTCAATTATTTGAAAGAGTAATTTATCTTACTGCAGTAAATGATTTCATGACGGTAATTATAGATTAGAGCTGTGATCGTAAAGTACACATCTGAGAATTTATTAGGTTTGAATTGTGTGATTGGAATAGTTTACTATCTGAAACATACTAAAATATGCAACTGCAACTTTGATATTTGCAAGTCATCATGTATATTGATAGATAAATCCATTTATTAACAAAAAATTAAGCTATCACCTTAATTTGACTGTTATCTTACATATACTCATATATATAAACAAAGAAATG